GAACGATGCAAAACTTGTCCCTTCATTCACAACGCTCAGAAAATATTGGGACCCAAGCGATCCATTAAGATCACCGATCACTTCAAGTGCCGCTCCGCCAATGTTATCTATTGCATAACTTGCACTTATTGCAAAAAGTTATACATCGGCGAAACAGGAAGACGACTAGGTGACCGATTCCTAGAACACCTTCGCGACGTGGAAAGGAATGACAAGGACGCATCTAAACCAGACGCTAGACACTTTAATTTACCTAATCATTCTAAACAACATATGGCAATCTGAGGTCTTTCCTTACATTTAGGCAACACGGAAAGCCACTAAACTCTTGAACACAAGTTAATCTTTTAAATCGGCACTCTTAATCCCACAGGTATCAACGAACGCTTTTCATTCCACTAATTTATTCGAGTTTTTCTCGTTGCCATGTTCCCATCAATGGCGTAGCTCCACTTTCTGCATATAAGACCACATACAACCCACAATTCCTCCATTCGCTCTGACGAAGGGCTAACGCTCGAAACGTCAGCTTTTTTATTCGTTACGGTGGCCAATTTACAATTTCAACTTAGTTGATATAACCAATTATCTTGTTACCCCCCCCGACGCAGCACCACAGTTTCTTTAGAAACTTTCAGCCTTCATTCATTTCTCTTACGAATTGACTATGGTGCATAAGACATGAGTTAATAGGTAAAAGTTGAAATACAGCAAAGCTGTAAAGCCAGGAATTGAATTTTTTTTTTTTTGGAATAAATACACTTACGTTGATCCGGTAAAGCAAGTCTGTTACTGAGCATTTGAAGGGGCAAGGGTATAAAGCAGATGGACATTCCATTGTATTAATGCAAGAGGTAAGCTCATCCTGATATGAAGTATAATATTCTTCATTAGTTTATTACGACTGTCTTAGAATTAGTGCTCCTTTCGAACACGCACGCCTCCCATCGTCCAAAATTTTATATGACCCGCATCTGTGCTGTGGTACGTCTACCATGCCATGCCTTCCGCAAACGTAAGAAATGCTCTGAGCTATGCTTTTTTGTCGAAATGTTTCTGAGGAATGATGTGTTGACAGTACCTCAAGAGAAAATTTGGCGACAGCTGTCAAACTATAGCAAACTTCTAATTTTGGTAAGAAATTGAATGAAGTCACGTAAAGCGCTGTATATGACTAAGCAATTGACTGAACTTAAATGGTGGAGAGGGACTGGGTCACATACAAGTTGCAGTCGAGTGCACGAACGCCCATGCATCAATATGGCAACTTTTTGAAACACATTGCCCTCTTCTTTAGATCACTTTAAGAATTTTTATATACAGTTTTATCGGCTCTGTAAACGTGATAAATATGAAAACAAAAGGTCAATATTATTTCCATATAAATATTCACATTTTTTACAAGGGTTTCTTGAATATTTCTGCTTCTTCAAAAGACAGTAACGTCCCAAACACAAAGTGTTGTATAACAGGAAACTTGGAAAGGACCTGTTAAGATATGAGACCAAATGAGAAAAAAAAAACAGCAAATCAATGCGAGCTAAGGTTCAGATAAAAATAACTGTTTACATTAATGATAATTGTTTCAAAAACAATTTAAAAGTTATCATTGTTCAACAAGTTTTAACTTTGAAAATTATAACTATTATAATTATTCTTGCTAATTATTACCACTGGAAAAAAACACAGGAGCTGGAAGGAAACACAAGAATCGAAGAGCCATAACAAAGAACAAGCTTTTGAAAAGGAACCATACTAAAACTGCAGCTACTGCTGTAGTGCCTGTCTGGGAGGCAATATTAGGGACCTAAAACACGATGGCGCGCTATAAAGGAGCCTTAGGTCCCACTGGACTATTTGTCAATCAACCGTCGTGTGATGTAGAACTTTTAGAGTCAAGTCAGCTTGAGCTACAGCTACTCCAAAGCAGTGAACAGCGGGCGCATTCCTCAAAATTGTTTTATGTCTTCATCGCAATACAAGAATTTTTGAGATTTGTATTTCCTTTCTCCAATGGAAACTGTCTTTATTTGTGGCGGTAAATTTGAGATCGAAGTAGGTGGTTCGCACGTTACCTCATGCCACCATGCTGGTGGAAGTAAACAATAGATATCTCATTAGCTC